AGTACTGTTAAACTTGAAATTTATTTCTTCCGCATGTTAAATTATGTTGCTATAAATTGTTGATGCTAGGTCATTAAATAAAATGAAAATGGAAAACAGGTTAAATAGTTCAGTTAGTTGGCTTGCCTAACTTTCACTAGTAGGCGCCATCACGACTCCCGAGGGTGGGAAATCTGGGTCGTGACAAAAGATTTTTGGGAGTATCCTTTATTCTGAGAAGGGGTCATCGTCCAGGTCGAGGGTCCTGACCAAGGCGTTGACTTCCTGAAACTACTTGTGCCAAAGTAGGGAGCACACGAGCCGAGGGTCTCGTTGCTGAGAATTTACTTAGCCAAGCTAAGAAAGGATACATAAGCGTTGAGAACCATGAAGCGAGTGGCACCTCGTGGATTGGGCATATTCGATCAGGTTGGGATCGAACCCGTGCCGATCACACGGTGACTGAGACAGAATTAAGTCAGGATAGTTGGAACTCCCAAAGTATAAAGCGAAGTATTTTTTTTATAAGAAAAAAAAAAGAATTTCTTTTAGAATATTCATAAACTGCTATTATGCAATTATTCTAGAATTATTCTTATAAGCTTTATGTTTTACATGCATTTAGAACCTTTGCCAGTAATGTATATGTTATTAAAGTTTCGCCCCCTGTTGTTGAGACTCACTGAATACAATGAATGGTACTGACGTGCTCTTTTGGGAACCTACGTTGGTCTGCGGTACAAGGTAGGAACCGGATTTGCAGGCGAGCAGGCTACGAGTTAGGACTTCCTTCTTCCAGTGCTATTGGTGAGCTCCGCTTTTGTTCGTGGAGTATTCCTTAGAGTCATTTTTATTTAGCTATTTCTTTGTTTACTTAGAGAACTGGCCAGGAAATCTCATGTCCTGAGCAGTGCGTCAGTTTATCAGTATAGGCTTCATAGACATAGTTGTTGGATTAAGATTCAGATGTTTTTTTATAATAACTTAGCAGTAATTCAGTAGTTACTACGCATAAAGTTTTGGAGTTGATTTATTTAAATATTTAAATTAATCAAAAGTATTTGGTTAGAGTATTGCCTTGCTGCATATAAAGTTTGGAGATTTAATAGATTTGATAACCAGAGATGGTTCGCTCGGTCTTGTTTAGTGATTGAGTGTCGGTCCCGGCTTGTTCAGAAAATGGGTCGTGACAAGTTTGAGTTTTATGTACTAACGATTAAAAAATATTGAATACAAAAACATGTTCCTTAAAAAGTAATTACATATATTCAATACGCATTTATCTGTAACAAAAATAAATAATATTATCAGTTATGTGTCGATTGTAAATTGAAAAAAATAATACTAATGGGTTTATAGGCCAAATTGGTTGTCCATCTAATAGATTAGTTTTTGAGTTGGACTATCCTATTTGGTCTATAACATTGGTATCAGAGTAGGTTGATCAACGTTTAGGATCACGACTTAGAATAGTGGCATGGACCCAATGGCTGTGGCCAACGAAGTTGTTGGTCCTCGGGTCGATCAACGCTTGGGGCCACGATTCAAAGTGTTGGCCTGGACCCAATGGTTGTGACCGACAAGGTTGTTGGTCCTCAAGCGGGGAGGGGGGGGGGTAGGGTGTAACGACCCGACCGGTCGTTTTGAGCTTTTGCACTTTGATCGCCAGTTCTTGGGCACGACTTACCCCGTGTAATATATTATGACTGATGTGGATCGTTAGTTTTGGTTTCCGGAAAAATCGAAATTAATTTGGAAGAACAATTTCAGTTGAAAGCTTTGAATTTGAAAGGTTTGACCAAGAGTTGACTTATTTGTATATGAGCTCGGATCGGAATTTTTATGATTTGGTTAGCTTCGTGGGGTGATTTATGACTTAGGAGTGTGATCGGAAGTGGTTTTGGAGGTCCGGTGTAGAATTAGGCTTGAATTGGCGAAGTTAGTATTTTGGCGAATTCCGTTTGATAGGTGAGATTTTGATCCGAGGGTCGTAATGGAATTTCGAGAGTTGCTGTAGCTTCGTTATGTGATTTGGGATGTGTGTGTAAAATTTCAGGTCATTCGGAGGTGATTTGATTGGGTTTTTGATCAAATGCGTGTTTCGGAAGTTTTAGAAGAACTTAGGCTTGAATTCGATGTAATTTGATGGTTTTGGTGTTGTTTGAGGCATTTTGATGATTGGAACAAGTTTTAATGATGTTTTAGGATGTGTTGGTGCTTTTGGTTGAGGTCCCGGGGGCCTCGGGTGAGTTTCGGATGGCCAATCGGACCATTTCTTAAGTTTCAAAGTTGCAGATTTTCAGTTCTTGAGTTGCAGAGATTTTGGCCTTCGCGATCGCGGGGGTGGTGTCGTGATCGTGTAGAAGGAAATTTGGAGGCAGGCGAATTGCTCTTCGCATTCGTGTCTGAGGGTCCGCGTTCGCGGAAGGTTGGTTAATGATGCTTCGCGATCGCATGGTATTGATCGCGTTCGCGTAGAAGGAGTTGGAGTCCAGTGATTTTAGTCATCGCGTTCGCATCAGCTGAGCCGCGTTCGCGTAAGAGTTGTCGCGTTCGCATAGACCATTTTGAGGCCTGGAAGATTTTCTCATCGCGATTGCGAGCCTGGGGCCGCGATCGCATAGAAGGAATCGTCAGCTGGGCAGAAGGGTTTTTAAAATATTTCATCCGCGAGCCTAAGTCATTTTCCTCCATTATTGAGTATTTTTAGAGCTTCTTGGGAGCAATTGAAGAGGGATTTGAAGAGGATTGATTGGAGGTAAGTTCTATGAACTAGAAACATGATTATTATGTGAAATTAACCTAGAAATTCATGGAAATTTAGCTAAAATTGGAAGAAATAGGGGTTGGGATTTTTAGATTTTAAATTGGGGTTTGAAGGGTCATTTGAGCTCGGATTTGAGAGTTCTTGATATGCATAGACTCGTGGCGAGATAAGGAACCCGTTGATGTAAAAATTTCTGAGTTTCGAGAAGTGGGCCCGGGTTTTGCTAATTTCGGGATTTTTGATATTTTTCGATTGTTTTCGCTTGGGCTTTGTTCCCTTAGCATATTGTGATGTATTCGCTCTGATTTTGGATAGATTCGACGCGGGTGGAGGCCGATTTAAGGAGCAAAGGCGTCGCGAGCTAGAGATTTCGCTGGTTCGAGGTGAGTAATGATTGTAAATGATATCCTAAGGGTTTGAAACCCCGGATTGCACATCGTAGTGCTATATTGAGGTGAGACACGCGCTTGATGATGAGTGTGGGGTTGTTTGCTATTGGGGATTGTGACTTGGTCCGTCCCGATTGATGATTTTACCGCGTATTTGATTGAAGCTTATTTGTTATCATCATAATTTGGACTGGTTGTCATATTTGGGCTTCGTGCCAACTATTTGAACCCTCCGGGGATTTTTATCACTGTCCCTCACTGTTTTGACTTACTACTTGAACTCAGTCGTACCGTTTTCCACTATTTTACAACTCAGCCACTTTTACTCGATTTTAAAACTAAATTGATATATTAAATGATGTTTTGGGCTGAGAACTACTGTTTTACAAATACCCGAAGGGCTTATGTGATTTCTGCACTGAGTATGGCCGAGGGCCAGTTGTGAGGATACTATGGGATCGGGTTGCGCGCCATAGCAGTGTTATACTGATACTGATATGAGGCTGAGGGCCTAGACTTGATGCCACGAGATGGCTTGATATTGCGCTTGGGCCGTAAGGGGCCCCTCCCGGAGTCTGCACACCCCTAGTGAGCGTCGTCGACGATAAATGGATCGGGCTGCACGCCGCAACGATATGTGGATCGGGCTGCATACCGCAGCGGTACTAGTACTGTTCTATGTGTTTACTTTATTTCATTTGTCTGCCATTATCTGTTGTCTGTGTTACTTCACGGGGTATCTACCTGATTGCTTGGCATTATCTGATGAGTGAGTGTTGTGCCCGAGGGGCGGATTTATGTGCTTATCTGCACTAATTATTTTGCATTTATTCGCATAACCGTTGAATAAGTCATTTTCAAAAGAGGTTTGAACTGAGCTAAGATGTTTTCTAAAGAGTTCACAGCTTCACTGCTTTTTCTCTAGGGGTTTTATACTGCTTCTATACAGCATGATGATTTGCCTTACGTGATTTCTTACTGCTCAGTTATTATTTACCTTTATTACTCACTGAGTTGGGGGTACTCACTTTACTCCCTGCACCTCGTGTGCAGATGCAGGTATTTATCCACCCGTTAGCGGGTTTTGGCTGATCAGAGGCAGAGTTATAGGAGTTAGCGAGGTGACTGCCAGCGTCCGCAACACCGTTTTCCTCTCTTTTATTCATTATTCCGATTTTGTGTATTTTAGACCTTGTAGTTGGATTTACACTCTAATAGATGCTCGTGACTTGTGACACCCCGATTAGGGCTGTGATGGGTTGTATTTCTGCTAATTAATATCATGAGATCATATTTAAACTGCTTATGAACTGTTTAACTGTTTAAAAGAGGTGTTCTGGAATGGTCTGGCTGGCCTTATCTTCACGAGAGGCGCCATCACGACCGGGGCAGAGTTTGGGTCGTGACAGGTGGGGTGGGGGGGGTGGGGGGACGGAGTTTATAGCTGGACTCTCCCACCTACTAGAGTAGTTTTTTTCTTTTTGGGTAGGGGAAAGAACATAATTATACAATATTTTGAGAAATTCTATTATTTTTGGAATAAACAAAGAATTTTATTATTTATGAGATTAATTTCTAAACAGGGAACAACAATGTAAAAATCCCTAACAAAAAACAAAGACAAAGACTCCACTAAGTTACCTACCTAGCATGTTAAATAATTAACAGTGTAAAAAACATTTGTACACATATATATTAAATCCATTGAATTCAATCAGATCTTTGTTTTCAATGACTATTTTCTTTTTCCAGGGAACCGACTAATTAAAACAGCAATACAAAAGTCATTCTCGAACGTATAAAACGGCGTATTACAATGAACAAAGTCCTTTAATTGCACAGATCGTCAAAGTGAAATCTGAGCTTTAATCTTCAATAAAATAACAGCAGAAATAAACAAAAACAAAAACTTTCTTGTACTACAACAGCATCCCAAAAACATTGAAGCATTCCTCGTTTTAAGTACTGATCAAATTCTTCATCTTCTCCTTCCATTCCATTCCCTTTACTTTCCTTTAAAAACACAAATCTTTGATAAAGGAAAGATTAGTATTTATATATAGAGAGAAAATGGGAAGTGCAGAAGATGACCATTTGCCTAAAAAACAAACACATAAGAGTATCAATGATCAAACCAAGTACAAGCTCAAATTACTAGTCCTCATTATCCTAACCAATCTTCTTACTATTTACATCTTCACTGGTCCTTCTCTCAACTTGCATCCTATTTTAAAGAACACTATTAATGATTCTCCTTTCCCTTCATTTGGTTCTACTTCTCTCTTGCAAGAGCTCAATGCCACTAAGAATGAACTCGAAACGAGTCGATCCCAAATCATAGTGTTGCATCTGCAGCTCAAGTCTACTAACCAACTTGTTACTGAACTTCTAGCTCAACTTAACCTCCTTAACCAGTCCATAAACAGGACCGCGGATTCCAGCTTGCTAAACTTCAATGATCTTCTTGATGATTTGTCAAAAGAAGCTAAGCTTGGTTTAGGCCCTCACAAGCTTCCACTCGGGCTCTCGCCAAGATCAGGGATAGATGAGGTTTATCCCTCTGTTGGAGGAGGTTGTCTGATGTATAAAGAAGATTTAGCACAGTACATGACATATAATGTTGGAAAGGAGTGTCCTGTTGATGATGTTTTCGCGCAAAGGCTAATGCTCAAGGGCTGTGAGCCACTTCCAATAAGGCGCTGCCATCCTAAAGCGCCTGCTGGTTATGTCGAACCAATTCCATTGCCAAAAAGTCTGTGGTCTACACCACCAGATACAAGTATTATTTGGGATCCATATACTTGTAAAAACTACAGTTGTTTGATAGAAAGAAGGAAGTTTCCAGGATTCTATGATTGTAAAGACTGCTTTGACTTACAATTTAGAGAGAAAACAAGGTGGCAATTTGACAATGGAGGTCTTGATTTTGGGATGGATCAGGTTATGGCAACAAGACGTCAGGGCACAATCCGCATTGGACTTGATATAGGAGGAGGCGTGGGTACATTTGCTGCTAGGATGAAGGAAAGGAATGTAACCATTGTCACCACTTCCATGAATTTGGATGGTCCATTCAACAGCTTCATTGCATCCAGGGGCTTGATATCGATGCACGTTGGTGTCTCCCAAAGGCTTCCTTTTTTCCAGAATACTCTGGATATCGTGCACTCTATGCATATTTTGAGCAACTGGATCCCGGATACCATGCTTGAGTTAATTATGTATGACATATACAGAGTTCTGAGACCAGGAGGACTGTTCTGGTTGGATCACTTCTTCTGCCTGGGAACACAGTTGAATGCAACTTATGTTCCTATGCTGGAGCGCGTTGGATTCAAGAAACTGAGGTGGAATGCTGGCATGAAGCTCGATCGAGGGATTGATAAAAATGAGTGGTATTTCTCCGCTTTGTTAGAGAAACCAATGTCCTAAAGTACTTAGTTGTTGAACCTTTAGATAGTTCGTAAACTGATGGCAAGTTTAATTCCACGGACTCTAGTACAAGTTACCAACCTTGTCTGGTTAGTTTCCCCTTTTTTCTCATTTTTGTAGTGCAACTGAAAGAATACAAGATGATAGAATCATCGGAACAATTGAAAGAGGAATTTTATTATCTACAGTTATCAATTCGTCTTGCTTCTATCACCACAAATTACTGCAAAAAGACAATGATGATGTGAAATTGATCTCCTGTCAACATCTCACAAATAGCTCTATAAAAAAGAACTAAGGTAAAAGATGCAATATTGGATGCACAACTTGTTTTAGTATGGAAAAATAGATTCTCATATACAAATGACCATCCTAATTGAGATCAAAAAGAGCTTGCACAATTTACAGAAGGTAAAAATAAATGTTTCCAAAAAAATTTAGTATCTTCTCTAGTCGCGCTGTTGGACCTCCAGAACATTCTTCTTTGTAGTAAAATAATTCATGCCAACAACAAATAGTTGATTCATTCTACATTCTCTCAAATTTGTACACAAATAACAGGCAATGGCATATTATGTGTGATCCAATGTTTCAACTTTGGGCAAACCCGTTAAGACATTGATCTTACTTGGGCTCTAACTTTGAAGGTGGATATGCCCCACTATAGACAAACAGACTTTCATCAGTATAAGGATGAAGTCCTTTGTTTGCTCCTTCATATGTTTCTGAAGTGGAAGCTGATTCTGCATTCGGGTTCAGTCCTACGATCTCCATAATATACTCAATCTCTTTCACCACTTCACTCATTGTAGGCCGCTTGGCTCCTTCTTCTTCAACACACTTGATTGCTAGATCCACAAACTTCTCTACGCTTTTAGGAGTTGCACCTGAGCGAACAGCAGGATCCAAAATTTCGTGAAGGTTATACATGTCTTTTGTCTTGTCCATTGCAGTCCTCACTTCCCTGACAATATATCTTCCTTTTTCAATAGGAATTTTTCCTGTAACAATCTCCAGCAGTACCACTCCAAAGCTATAAACATCACTCTTCTCAGTCAGTTGTTGTGTCATGTAATATTCAGGATCCATGTAGCCCTAAGAAGTAAATGGCACCCATCAGAAGAACATAAATTATGAGTAATTACTGGCACAATCTTCTCAAGGATCTAACTTTATTTTACTTCACGGACAGATCATTATGTGATCATCAAATATTAGCTTCTACAACCTGTAATATAATATTCAGGTACATCTCCCTGAATTTGGTGATCAAAACATTCAAGGATCGTTACTTCCAAGTCTGCTAACTTAAGAGAATTTGTGAAAAGGAGAATTTGTTTTCATACTTCCCTATTCCTATGTGTTTATTTACTCATTGTTTGTGGAGAGAGGTGGCTGGCCAATGAGAAAGGAGGAGTTTGAGGGTTCTTGTTATAAAATGAAATAGTGTTTGTAATGGTTCCTGCTGACTAGAAATTATCGAGACAATACAATTTCTGAACTTGTGAACATCAGAAAATGCTAGGATATAAGCATACAATATTCTAAAATCAAACAAGTTTGGGCAGGCATGAAGAGAATATTTACTCACCATTGTTCCTTTGACCTGAGTGGTTATGTGACCCCTTTCAGAGTCACCTAGAAGCTTGGACAAACCAAAATCAGCAACTTTTGCATTTAAGCGTTCATCCAGCAAGATGTTGTTGGACTTGATGTCTCTGTGTATGATAGGAGGATTAACAAGGTCGTGAAGATACTGCAAACCTCGGGCTGCTCCAAGGGCTATCTTCAGTCTCCTCATCCAATCTAACCTGATTCCAGTCTTGCCTACAAGTATAAATTCAATTATATTCTCCAGAGGCACATTTCCCTTTGATGAGGTTAGAAGAAGCTAGTTTCAAAGAATCAATAAGAAGGAAAAGTCTAAGGTGCTAGTTGATGAACATGTTTCTGATTCTACCTAAACATAGTCTAATGTTCTCTAAATAGAACTTAACAGGAAGCAAAATGGTTGGAGATTTTACGGAGTTTCATGCCCAAATTACATGTTCCATATCTCAGTGAAAATGGTCCAGTACTTCCACTCCTATTTAAGAAATTGGTTTTCTTTGTTAATGACTACTTTGCAACAACTAATCTTAAATAAATTCTTGGACTTCCGAGAATGTAGGATAGCCAATTCAGCATGAACCTCTCTATAGTCTTCTCATAATAATGGTGAAAGAGAATGGTAGGGACCAAGATATACCTGAAAGACCATCTTTTAAGGTGCCATTAGGAATATACTCATACACCAGCATCTGTTCAGCTTGATCGAAACAAAAGCCACCAAGGCCAACGACATTCTTGTGATGAACCCTTGAGAGAAGTTCTATCTCAGTTTTGAACTCAAGTGCACCCTGCATAGACCCCTGTAGAGCTCTTTTAACTGCAACCAGGTGTCCATTTGGAAGAGTTCCTCTGTAAACCTGCAGGATGTAACTTCCACACTTATAAATTAATTCAGTTTAAATTGTTGCCAACACCTTCTTACTGAAATGGTAGACTATGCCTTAAGAAATATCATTCAGTATTCTTTTTACGGTGGTGTTGGTTGGGGGATGGGGGTTGGGAGAGGGTGCACCTAGCCAATGAAAGCTAACCTTGCCATAACCACCAGATCCAATATCATTAGTTTCTGAAAAGTTATTTGTCATTTTTTTGAGCTCCTCAAATGAGAAAAATCTTGCTCCTGTCAACTGTGGAACAGCACCACTTTGTTTATTTGAGTCCCAGGATGCTGCATTAAAGAGAAAGATAGCAACAACCACCATAAGATGAAGTAATAGGTAAACGAAGAAATAGTTAGTTCCAAATCTTACCAAAAGGATCATTCCTCCTATCAGCATCTTCAGCTCTTTTCTTTTGCCGGAAAGCATAAAGACCAACGATTAGTGCTAAAATTACAAGGACAGAACCACCAACTGCTGCTCCAATGATAATGCCTGTACTAGATGACTTGTGTGATCCACTGGATGCACCTAGAGAACAGAATACTCAGACTTATAACTATCTAAGTTCAACTTCCACAAGATGCAAGTTTCATAATGTTCCAACAACAACTGCCCAGTAAAATCACACAAAAGTGGGATCTGGGGAGGGTAATGTGTACGCAGACCTTATCCCTACCCCGATAGGGCAGAGAGCTTCATAATGTTCCAACAAATAATTCAAATTCCTAGCAGTCATTTAATGAATTAAGTTTTTTGACCACCGATTAGAAAAACCTGTGTCTTTAAAAAAAATAAGTTATTGATAAGTTCATTAGAGTTTACACAAACTCTTAACAGAAACATAGGAACAAAGAATGGAAATTGATCCATCACATGTATGCTAACTAATTTTTTACCATCAAGAGGATCGATACATTTTTCAGAATCTTGTACTTCTTAAGTTGAATACTTAAAATAAAACTGATATAATAATCAAAACAGCGGACCTATAGTAATTGCTCTTCATGTTCAAAGTCCTCAAAGGAAGAGTAAATCCTTCTGTCAAACCAAGTTTATGAAAACTTAATCATCAATACCAAATATTTGTTGGTTTTTCACCCACCAAATTTCTACTATTCTAGATTAGATAGCATATATAAGTAGGAGAAGAGAAATGAGCCAAAAAAAGGAGAAGGAAAAATAGATCTCGAAAAGTTCTATTACCATCGAAGTATTTATAGCCTTCACCAATGAAGAAGAAAGGTCCAAATGTCGACGGGGGCTTGAAAGTCTGATTACTAAGCACAAAACCTATTCCAGAAACTCCAGTTCGATTGAAAAAATCTTGGCTAGAAGGAAAAACTTGCAGGTGTATTACAAGGTAGTCATCTAAATTTTTTGTAGGGTTACTGAGGGAAACTGAGTCAACAGGCAGTTGAAGGTTTTGGAATGAAAGCATCAAAGATTTTTGGAGAGTCTCATAAGTAGTTTTGTTTCCTAAGTTGGAAAAGGAAGGAGCTCTGAAGACTAGGTTGCCTGTATATGGAAAAGCACATTTACAGGTAGGACTAGAAATTTGATCGGAGCTGCACTCAGTTGGCAAGCAATTTTCTGGTGGAGTAGAATATGAATCAGCTTGTTGAGCTTGGACACAGTAAGTTTGTGTTGTTCCTTCATTGCAGACAGGATTACCAGCAAGTCTGCAAAGGAAAACAGTAACAAAATAAGGTAATAAACATGATACAGTCAAGTTTAGCGTAGAACATAATCATATGGCCGAATAGGCTTAGACGTTTAAAAAAACAAGGAAGAGAGCTTACAAGATCTGAAAGGGATATCCTGGTCTTTGAGTAAATGAATCAATAAGATTGCTCTGCATATCAATGAGTTGTAACTGGTTGCTATACGCGGAGTCAATTTCAAGTGTGCCATTAAGTCTGTTTTTCCTCATATTGCTGTCATAAGCAATGAGTGCATTGTCATCAAATCTCAGCATACTCAATCTCTATCGTTTATAAAACCAAGTTCCATGAAATACAACAGACACAAAGTTATAGGGACACTTACACAGTCTGCAACTGGAAAAGGCTGAATAATTTAGCTGGAACTAATCCTTGGAGTCCTGTGTTTTCCATTGCCCTGTCAATACAAGGTCATGTATTAGGTTAAAAAGAACTTCTGGGAATTGAAACCGTAAATGAGACAAATAAAAACTGCCCGTATTCAAGGCATATACTAGCACAGTACACACATGCACCTGCTCATGGAAATGCATACACACACACATACACATTGAGAGAGAGAGAAAGAGAACATACACTGTTGTCAAAGATTGCAGGTCTGGTATCCATGATGGAAAATCTGATGCATTAAATGAATTATTGCTCATGTCCCTGCAAAATTAAGTGCCACATCATGATAGTGAGATTAACAAATTGTCTTTTCTCCGAAAAAGTAACAAATAAATTGGGGGAAAAAGTTACAGCACAGTTATGAGCAATAATCAATTATCAACTCAAAGGGATCAAGGCACAGTTCTTACGATAAGCAACTTACAAGTAATTGAGTACATTCATGCCAGTGAGATTCGGCAAAAGACCATCCAAATTATTGTTTGATATGTGGCTGTGATACATTGTCAAAGCATGCTACATCAGGAAATCATAAGGACATAAGATAGGTTCAGAAAATTGTTTCATTTTCTACTTACAGTT